CTTAATTCAGCGATTAGCAGCAGCTCGCTCGCGTGACCTTTCTTCTAGGCAACGAGGATCTTTCACTGCTCATCATGTTCCTTGTAATTACCATTTGCAACACCCTACCTTATAAACCTTCTATCAGAAGAATTAATAATTTTTAGTGGAAATTTTTTTTTAATCGATTTATAAAACCAATAATAATATTTCTCTCATACATAATATTAATGTATTTAACCAATGCATTAATCGTAAAAATAAACTTTTAACATGTAAATTTTCAATAACTCATTCCTCGCATTTCATCATTTTAGAAAGTACTAAAAGTAAAAATTCGTAATTACATATAGATATAGATAAAATACTAGTACAGTCCTTCTAAATATTGAGGGCAACATTGGAGATAACTTCCTACAGAGCAACAAACTACAAAAAGAGTGACTACTACCCAGTACCATGTAGGTCTTTGTACTACAAAATACTGTCTATAAAAGTTTGGATATGTTTATCCCAATACATGTTGTCATCATTGTGGCTCTCAGCTAATGAGTATGAGTGTCATATTCATCGGGTTTCGAATCTATGCCATCTCTCCTCTCTTTAAACAATGACCGATCAGAGTTAGTGGCGAGATATTGACCATTGATTTTGAGGGGGTCAAATAATATATTATTAATAAATATGAAAGGAAGAAAGAAGATGAAAGGGTGAAAAGATAAAATTGTAGATATATACTTAAATATATTAAATGATCATTAAGTTTGAGGGGAACAAAATCATAAATTATATGAGTTACAAAACCGAGGAGGGGTCGAGAGGATAAAATTGTAAATATACAAGTAAATATATTAAATGTTCATTATGTTTGGGGGGGCCAAAATCATAAATTACATGGGAGTTACAAAATTTTGGGGGGGCCACGATCCCCCTCAGCTCCCAAGAAGATCTGCCACTCGATCAGGTCCAACAAGTACTAAGTACATAGGAAGTAAAGAAAACAGAAAGACAAGAGACTAAACAATAGTTCATACATCATCTTATAATCAAACATCATAAACATTCACAAGTCAATCAAATTCCAAATTATTGATGTTAATGATGCATGATCCTAATATGTTTTCTAAAATGTTTATGCATGCAGGTTCGAATCATTTCTCAAATCAGTGTTGCGGTAGCTAGGAGTTGACACTATTGGGCATGGAAAATCCACCCACGGGATTGTTGAGACTCACGCTCAAATATAAACCCAGTAGCTCACTGACCATTGATATATGGTAAGAGCATAGTCAGGTACAACAGAGTTTGTACAGTGGTATCCCCGACAGCAGGTAGCGAGCCTGATTCTTTTGGGGCTTCCAACCATTACCCTTCCTATCCTCAAGTCCTCCCTCAGGGCCTCCCTATCGTATTCTTAAAGTCCATAATCTCTGATTCCCCAGATATCACAAATCACCATTTTCAGATGAGTAATGTATGAGTCCCTAAGTGATTTTTCTTAGAAAGTCATATTTTTCCAAAAATTTTGACAGAGTTTCCCTTGTGATACGAATTTCCCAAAAATTTCCAAATGCCTGTTACAATCAGAAAACTTCCTAATACAGTTCAAAAAGGGTTCACAACCCATCATCTGATCCTTTTCAATTTAATTTCAATAAACTTTTCCATGAAAACCACCATGCATATAAATGTTCACTCAAAGACAATTCATATCTTAATAGAGTACCAAACAAGTATTTACACCATCATACACATAAGCAATTCATTATCACTTTCAAAACCAAACATATAATGAAACAAAATTATCAATCATAACCAATTTAGACAACTTCAACAAATAAGGTTAAACAAGTTTATGATGTAATCCTTACTATATAGCCCACCCCTTACCTGATACGTCCACACTTATTCCTTTCAAAGCTTGATGTTGTGTTTCAGCAAAATCTATATACGTAATAAAATGCTAGTTAGAATCTTATATTTCTATGATTCTATCTCATGAGAATTTAAATTCACTTTGTGTTGCTAATCCATTTCTAATAATATTTTAAGCTCACATTCAACCTACCATTAACTTAGAAAATTATCATATTTTGTATGCACTTAGAGAATGAAGAATCCTAATAGCAAACATGGACAAGGTTCAGTATTTTGAAATTTTCTAGAGTTATATAAGTTGTTTTGGCATGAGGTCTGGGTCAAAATTTCAATAACTTAATTATCTACAATATTGATGCAGGAAATAAATTCAAATACCCTATAACATAAATGCAGTTTTCAGTTTACAGTGGTTGTTTCCAACAGGGCTCAACTACAATAACACTCTGAATATGCCTTGGTAATTTGAGTATAACTCATGCTACACATAAGCTATTGACATGAAACCAATTTCTAAATTTTGGGAATATAATTTCCTACAACTTTTATGAAGGAATCAAGTTCTAATTTTATAGTATCAATTCTAGTAATTCAAAAACTAAGGCTGTTGAAACAGGGCAACCTCTTAACATCACAGCTAGAATACTTGTCCGTAAAATGGGCATAACTTGAGCTACTAATATCCGTTTGATGTGAAACTAGTTTCTAAATTTCGACAACTTAAATAGCTACAACTTTGATGAAGGAATCAAGTCCTAATTATGTTCACACAAGTCCCAGAAAATTCAGTGAACAGTACCTGCAAATTAGGCGTTCTTAAGGTATTAAGCTCAACCACTTCTAATCCTCAACTCTAAGCATTATTCTAGTGTCCTAGGTGTAATACCTACAATAACACTCTTTCCACTCCAATTCAAACTCAGTCAAGTGAGGAGAAAAATTGGAAATGCACCATTTTGAAAAATAAAATCGTAGAAGTGTAGAAGAGATTGAAAGAAACAAACTTACCTCTTGGAGCTCCTCAAGAAAATCAAGATTTCCCCCTCAAAATCAAGCTTGAAAGTGAGGAGTGTTTGAGATAAAGAGAGAAATAGAGAAGTGAGAGAAAGAGAGTCTATGAGACCTTTTACTTGGCGAAGGAATAAAGAGGTTTTCCTATGCTTTGCTTTAAAAGTCAAATTTCTAATTCATTTTCTATTTTATTATTTTTTTTAATTGTCAAATGTGAATATATACAAATTAATAGATAGGGGAAGCCTTTAAGACATGAGAATAGAATATCTAAAATAATAATGAGATGATTACAAAAATTTTAATTCACTCAGATTGTTCTTGGATCAGTTTATTTTTTATTTCTTTTTTTTACCAGTTAATTAAACATGCTTGTAAAATAAAATTTTAAAATTTATCAAATTTTATTGTAAAAATTTACTTTTCGAGATCTAGTTAGCACTATTAAACTCTTGTAAAAATTTCAAAATTTTTCAACTTTGTTTATTATATAATCAATTGCAATTTGAAATTTTTGTTAGAATGTCCACAAAATAGGTCAATTTTGAGTATTTTTCTAAAAATTCTAGAAATTTTCAAAAAATCACAAATAATCTAACAAACATAAAACTCTATAGTCACTTTACCTAATTTATAATAATTTAATTATTAAAATTTTGACAAAGATTTTGTCAAAATTTAACAAACTAGAGGTACTGAGAATTAGGATATTACACCATTTGCTCATTAAAACTTCTCGGTTTCACGGTGGGTGCCAAAATATTTTTACAAGGTCAATAGTCTCCCACAAGACCAATTTTTGTGACCTAGCTCATAGTTAGCTCTAGATATTTGAATGTCAAACTATCAAGTTGTCCATGATTCTTCGTTCAAGCTGTGGTCGGTGTGCCTGCAAAAGACACTCTAATGCTCAAGTCAAACAAGGGTGTAAGTATGGAGAATATTTGCAATTAATGAACAACAACCTATCTTAGAATCCACGTCTATTTATACTACCCTGGTTGGGCTTTATTGATGACTTCAGCTTCTTGGTCTTATTTGGGCACCTTTGGTTGTCACTCTATACTAAGGAGACCTAGCCGCATGGCTATAATACATGTGGTTGTGTAGGTCTTTGTGGCCATATGGGTATAGTACACGTGGCTGAGTAGGTCTTTGTGGCCATATAGGTACAATATGTTTAGTATCCAATTCTTTCGATCCTTTTTCACCTTTAATGTTTCGATATTTAGTTTTTACTCTCAACTTTGATATTTTCTTAACTAATTCTTTCGTTAAGGTTAATTTCCATGTGTGAGGTATTGTTTGCTTTGGAACTCTAATCCGTCATGATTTTGCCATTAAAAGGCACCTCAATGGGTTAAGAGAGGAGGGTGTATATAGACTACCCTTGGCCTCAACTCCTAAGCGATATGAGACTCATGAGCGTACTAGAACATAAGCCCCCAGTCGAGGACTAAGGGTATATATGAGTGGAGAGAGATTATCTTCAACCCAATGGTGGGTGGCAATGTTCCATATAGGAATGAAAGTGTCTCGGTCTCATATTTGCTATGATAACTATGATAAAGTCAATTTTCATGTCTGAGGTATTATCCACTTTGGAGCTCTAGTCCATCATGATTTTGTCCTTAAAAGACACCTTAGTAGGTTGAGAGAAGAGGGTGTATATAAACTACCCTTAGTCTCGATAAACCCTAAATCCTAATGATGCTTTCATAGCAAACATGAGGCCGAGATACTCTCATTCATAGATGAAACATATGGCACCCATCGTCAGGACCATGAGCAAGTCTCGCTCGATTCACACAGCTCCCTTAGTCATTGGCCAGGGGACTATGTTCAATCATGCTCATGAGTTTTACATCATAGATCGAGGCTAAGGTAGTTTTGTGTAGCACCTACTTCTCTCTCAACCCATCGAGGTGAACCTTTTCAAGGCAAGAGTTGATAAGCCGGACTCCAGAGATCAAAGTGGACAATGCCTTGAGACATGAAAATTGACTTTATCATAGTTATCATCACAAAAGGAACGCTTTGATTCCTCTATGAACGCCCGCCCCATAGTTGAATAATATCTCTCTCACTCATATATACCCTAGTCTCAAAGTCATATGTTCTAGCTCGACTACATGAGCTGCTCATGCAACTTTGAGGTAAGAGCCAACAGGATTAGCTGCCTGCGCCCTCCTCTTAACCCCGATTTGAGGTGCCTTTTAATGGCAATAATAAACGATTAAGGTCTGAGAGCAAATATGATCTACAGCACGCTTCACAAATTAACAGATATCTCAAAGCTGGAGCTGATATCAAAACCTTAAAAGTTGAAAAGGATCAGAAGACAAACGTATTGTGTCCTATGGCCACAAACCTCTCAGTCACCTGTATTGCATATGCCACAACACACAACCACCATGTGTATATGGCCATCAACTAGGTCTACTTCAGTATGAGTGACAACCAAAGTACCGAAAATGTCAAAAAAAAGTTGAAGTGGTCAAATAATTCAAACCATATAGTGAGTAGTTGTTTGTTCATTAATTGCAGATATTCTCATACTACACCCTGTGGTTAAGGGAGCGTTAAGTGTCTTTGCAGGCACACGCGGGGAAGCCACAACTAAAAACAAATGACACACTATAATGTATACATTCAAATATCTCATATAAGCTCAATCACAAAATTTCGTCTTATGAGCTATTGGTCCTGCAATTATTTTGCACCAATAAAGGAAAAAGCCAATGTATAAGTGTGCTAATTCTCATACCCCTAGTTGTAAATTTTGACAAAATACTTTTGTCGATTTTTAATGATTAAATTATTAGAAATTAGGTCAGAAGAAGTTATAGAGTTTTATGTTTGTTAGTATTAGTAAAAAATTTCAAAATTTTCAAAAAAATACTCAAAAATTGCAGACTTATTATACAAAACTTCTAACAAAAATTTCAAATTGCAATTGAGTATATAATAAACAAAGTTGAAAAATTTTGAAATTTACAAGAGTTTAATGTCTAACTGAGATCTCAAAAATAAATTTTCAAATTAAATTTGATAAATTTGAAATTTTATTTACACACATTAAATTGATTAAAGAAGAAAATAAAAAATAAAAAAATATGTGTACAGTGAATTAAAAATTTTGTAATCATCTATTATTTTAAATATTCTATTCTCATG